TAATTATTCGTGGTATATGTTGAACGACTTGTTTTTGCTGCACAGTACTGTACCACTTGGCCTTGTTGCAAATTAACCGGATAACCAAATGAATATGTCATTTCTTGCCGAGGATAATTAAAACCTATACCTTGACTACCTAATACCTGTTCGATATGTTGATTATTTAAATTTGTGGATAAAGCAACGAAAGCAACATCGTAATTGTAATTTTTTGATTGTATCCAACCGGTTAAGATCATTGTTCGACGTGCTAACCATATTCCGTGTGGTGCTTGACCTTGTTTATAACCCGGGATGAATATCCAATTTTGATTAATAAAGAAAGAATAATCATACATGCAATGAGCTGCTGTTACAATTAAATCAAGCGATGATGATGGTACTATTGATGCTGAACATGAGTATTGTCTTGTATTATCTGGAGAAGACCAAAATACTCGACCAGTTGTAGCAGTCATACGACCGCTAAAACTTGGAGTTTGTTTTACCAATGGTAGTTTACCATCGATGCTTACCACTAGATCGTCACCGTCGGGTATTTTTTTGAGAGTCTCATTTGATACTCTATTTGTAGTCCATACAGCTTCAGCATTTAATAACTTTTCTGTTGTCCAATAATCCGATACTGTTCTCAAATGTTGTGCAACGCTCATTGATGCAGGAAGTTGAATATCAGCACTGGAAACTTTTACATTCAACGGTAATGTCGAACCATATGATGATGTGAGAAGAACGATTAATACCATGATGAAACTCATTGTGAGAAAAAGTATAAGATGACTGAATGAAAATCAAGAAGTATTTATATCTTAATTTCTTGGAAGCTCTCGATGACTAATATTTGATTTACAATTCTACCGATCGATTGCTATTGCTTATCATTTGAGAAAAGGAACGAAGAAAAAGTTTATTATTATTACTTGAAGTTCGTCGGATTTTTTCAACAACATATGATAGAGAGCAATCGGTAAACTCCCAAGAAAAACTAAATCAAATATTAGTCATCGAGAGCTTACAAGAAGTTAAGATACCAATACTTCTTGATTTTCATTCAGTCATCTCATAGTTTTTCACACAATGAGTTTCATCATTATGTTAAAATAATCCATTTTTGCTTATATATAGGAGGCTTCGAAGAGAGATCTTGCAGAACGAAAGCTCCTTTTCCTGCTGTAGTTTAGATGATGAGGAATCTAGTCCACTAGTCGATTCTGAGTCTTGACGTTTTCTTCGTAGTGAAAACTGCATTTCAAAATTTTTGACTTTTCAATCACAAGAGAGAAAAATAGAAAATTAAGATTCCGAAATTCCGTTTGTTCGCCTCTTGTATAATCATGCGTAGTTTTCCTTGAATGAAGCTCTGACATTAAAATTGGGGTATGGTATCGTAGAGTGTTTCGCGGCGCTCGTTTTTTTCTTTTAAAAAAGCTCGAAGGTTATGGTCTTAAAGAAACACGCGAAGCACAGAAAATACTGAGAGTCTCATTCATTACCCGATATATTCTAATAATAATTTAATATCTTCATCTAATTTCCTTTGTCTGAGATGGTCGATTGACCAGTATACCGTAATCAGTCGTGGCTTATCTTTAATGGCTCATGTAAGGATAACTATAACCGAATACACAAACTAGAATGCCGTAGAGTAAGACAAACAAAGGCGATGTTTTTTCGTCTACATTGTATTCCATACTCCTTCAGATATTTACAATTTTTTCTGAGGACTTCTGAAATAATAGAGAACTCTCAATGGAGCGTTACCTAAAGAAGATGGCGACCTGAACTAGTCAGAAAACAACATAGAATTTCCAATGGATCGTTGCCTAACGCAGGTGGTGAGCTAAAGTAGTCAAACGATAATAGTGAATTCGCAATGGATACTTTGCCTAACTTGGATGGTAACCTGAATTAGCCAGCAAATAACAGAGAACTCGCAATGGATCTTTATCTGCAGATGTCGACCTGATTAGTCAGAAAATAATAAGACTATGGTAAAACCTTGTTTGCAACCTTGTTTCAGTTTGCGAGATAAAACGTACTCATTATATGGAAAAGTTTGAAAAGTAAGAGGGGTGAAAGAATATCCAGCAAGTGATGTCTTACTCCTATTATTTCCAAACTTAAATGAAAGGGATGCAGTGTAGTAAAAGACAATGTCACTCTTCTATTCAGAACATTGATACAATAATCAAACGGATTCATCTTTCATTAGTATTACCGACGAGTAAGATGATCAATCTCAGCTGGTTTACAATGTTAGCCTGTTACGAGTGACGACAGTTTATCTGCAACCAACGTAGAATAGTTGACAGACACCCTGGTCATATATTCTTCATCAGATTAACCTTTCTACAAGAATATCTAAAAAGACAATTTCGGTAAAAGTTTGATCATCATAGTATCTACAGCCACCAATTCGTCGTGTTCTAACTGAACCGGCGTTAAGAAATATTAAACTTATAGCGTATAATAACTGTACGGCTTGATATCTATTCGTATTGTTGGCCCAAGTCTAGTTTCTAATTGCGAGTCTCTTTAAAAGTTCGCGGCAGGATCGCGCAATGCGTATTTATTCGCGTTTTCCGTCTACTATCAGTAAATGAACTACGCGTATATAATCTACTACAGGGTGTCCCAAAAGTCCGGCGAGAAAAAATTTTTTAAAAACTTCGCCATTTCTTAGCCAAACTTCAAGGTTGTGTTTTTGTTTGATAGAGAAACGTTTCAAGTTTTATTTCGTACGACTGGAAACTCTTGTTAATATTTGAAAAGATGTTTGGGTTTATTATATGTGCTGCAAAACTTTTTGAAAAGAACATAAATAATTTTTAATATTAAAATAAAGTAGATGATGACGGCTTTCACATAATGAAATAAGAATTTGCTTTTGTTTAAAAACGACCGGTTGGTGTGGATTTCTTTAGCCATTGTTATTCCATACTAGCATCTGGAAAAGTACAAAAAAGTAATAAAAACATTTTTCAGATAAACTTAACTAATAAAAGGAAAAACTACTAGTGGAATTCCTCTAGAAAGAAGGTAGCCTTATTATAAACTGGAATAGTTTGAAAGCCTGTAAAAGGTTG